CTTCTCCTATATGCACTCTGCTTCCTCCTCTTCTCAATCGCCCTCTTCCCCTCACACCTCCCTCTTTCCTCCTCCCTTCTTTCTCCCCCCTCTGTCAGCTTCCCTCCTTGTTTCTCTCCCTCCTTCCTCTCCTCTCCAAGTGATGGAGGTGTGTTTTTATAGGAAGTGACAGTGTAAAGAGCTGTATAAAGGTTACAGTGGCTTCCTCTATGACACAGCCATATTACTTATCACACTCACGCTGCCTCACACACACACACACACACACACACACACACAGACACACACAGACATATTTTCTCCCTGGGCACTTTGCTGCATCCTGGGACACCTAATAGAAGTAGCGAGGGATTTTCATTCATTCCTGTGTTGCCTCCATCTCTCTCTCTTTCTTTCTCTCTCTCACACACACACACACACACACACACACAGACAAAATAAAAGTGTATACAAATACCCTCTCCCCCCAAACCAATATTCACAAAGAAAAAAGTGCATATGTGTGCACACCATCAGTGACAAGCCAAATAACAAAAAGGTCACCGTAGTCATTATGATTGTAATAATGTTGCATTATTATTGATACAACTAATAGAAGCAAATACAATTAGAAACAAGCTGAAGTAACTTTAAACTAGATTAAGATCATATTATTTTGAAAAAGCCAAAATGAAACGTATTTAGATTGTTCAGGGAATTTAAGACCAAAGAAACCCTTTAACAGAAACTATATAAAACTTCTTAATTTCCACTTGTTTCCAAATTGCAACGCCCAGCTCCCATCCTGCTTCTCGTCCTAGGCCTGGCTGGAGGAAGTGGCCCTGTGTCCCTCCTCTGAGCGAGGTTCCCTCAGATCTGTTGGACGCTAACACAGGAGTCATTAGTCTGACCCCTCACATGAGACTGGATTACCCTGGCTGTTGCTAAAAGAGGCTCACGGCTCCCGGTAGCGTTATTGTCAAGATAACAGGAGGCTGTCATTCTGTGAGCGTGGCAGCCGCCAGAGAGAGAGAGCAAAGCTACAGGAGAACAAAATATACCTGCCCTGCTGCAACAGTGACCCTGCTGGCATGATGGATGGATGGACTGAAGTCTTGTACAGATGAAGACATTTAAAACAAGGCTCTGAGATTGAAGCACAGAATGGAAGTACGCTCATTTTTACTGGCCTATGGTGTAGTGTTGTGAGTTTTCAGTAGGGTTTAGTTAATGTTTGCTGGCAAGCCTTTTAAAATCAATAATTTATCAATGGATCGATATTTTGCAATAAAATGAACAATGGATCACATGCCTACTTGTATGTAAAAGTGGTCGCTCCTATAATGAGCTCTCCAGAATGTTTGAGCAGTTTCTATTGAAAAACCTTTGATAAACCTGCTGTACGCTATCTGCCGTGTGCCAGATAATGGACAAAACAAAGCGACTAGCTGGTGAACATAGTGGAGAGAGCATGTGAGCGAGTGAAGCAGAATGTTGTTCCTTGTTCACGAAGCTTTCCATTCTTTCTGAATCTCCGCTCAAGTCTGCTCCGCACTCAACTCAGATTTAAACCTAGCTCCAAAACTGTATTTTAGTTTCAAAGCCATATCATGCCGGGAACATACAGAGCGGACACACACCCAAACACCCAAACATGTTACAGGAGAGAACCTCCCTCCCATCATAAGATGGTCCTTTTAACTGAGACAATCTGCTTATCAATGAAAACACTATTTATGAAGCTATTATAAAGATCAGCTGGCGTCAGAAGCTTTCCTCAAGTTGACCAAAACAAAGCTAAAAGAAGAAGAAGTAGCTTTGTCTCACTGTTCGGGACGGTCATAGAAAACATTAAGGTCTTTGGAGTGGTAGTGACAGATGATAAACTCCAACCTGGATGTAACCCACTTGACTTGAGGACTGGCCGCAGAAACACTTGTTGGGGTCAGCACTGGTTTCATGGTGAGATGTTCGGCTGCTGGCAAACAGCCTTGATTGACTCTGACTTCTGACTGAATGAGCTGCTGACACGGGGCTCGAACCAGCTGTCATTTGTGTCAAAAACCCTTTTTTTACCCGGTTTACTAGAGATTTAAAGAAACTAAGTGAACGAACAATGATGAGGTCAATAGTACACACACACACACACACACACACACGGAGAAAGATGCTGGAGCCCTCCAGCTTCTCTGAGTTTTGACTGTCAGATCATTCAACCTTCATCCTCACACACACACACACTGACTGACAGCAGCGTGATCATAAAGCCTTCTTAAATACGACAGGCTGCCATATCCACCCACTGCGCTGCCAGCTATGACTGTGTGCTGTAGACGATTTACCTGTGTGCATTTCTGTGCACATACGCACGTTTTTTTCCAGTGCATACATGCATGATCTACACCTCTTTCCTATTTCCTACAGTTTCCGTCTTTCTAATCTGTATGTGTGAATTATTTTCAGCTGCGATAACAACCCTCTGTAACAAGCTTAATAACTGCCTCTTTGTGTACCTGAATCTTTGGAATCTGCACTTGTGTGTGTGTGTGTGTGTATGTTTTCTATTCTCCCTCAGTCCTCCTGTCAGTCAATCTCAGAGGGAGTAAAGCTTGTTTGTCAGCTGTCAGACACACACACATGGAAAAGGTCTGCTCTGCACCTGCTCTGGAGGGAAATGTTCTCCCTGACACACACACATATAGGTGTCTCAAAGAGGCGTACACCCACCTACAGTACATAACAAACACACACATGCATTCATATAACACTTAAAGATGCACCCTTCGAGCTCGCGCTGAAGCAGCTTTATGCCGTACGCCTCCATGTACCTCCTTCGTGACGGCTTGTGGAGCGCGCTAATGGAAGAAACCCCGCAGAAAGACACAGATATTCTTTTCTATTCAGTCTGTCAGCTACGTTTAATCCAAAGCCGCCGTCTTTGAGGGCGCAGATACTTTTAGCATTTAGGGGTCTGCTGGGAATTGGAGGCATGCCTGTTATTTTACAAGTGGGTTCTTCAACAAATTGAGTTTTATAAGATGACTAGGCTGAAGATATTTTGTTTATGATTTTCTCAGTTTTGAAGTCAATCTTTATTCATATCAAATGTGAAAAGTACGCTCGCCCCCCGTGTATTAGGAGAGATTGGATTACTTGTGAAAATCGGCTCACCTAAAGGAAAACAGCTTCTCGCTTTTATTTGTACATTTTTGTTGCCTCTTTCTTTCTCTCTCTCTTTCTTCTCCCCCCACCTCTCTCTCTCTCCCTCTTTCTACTGCCATCAACTCCTCTTTCTTTTCCAATGTAGTGAGAAGTAATAATGGATAGAGAGGCGTGCTGCTGCAGTGTGTGTGGTGTGTGAGTGACTTTGTTTATGTGTGAGCGATCACGTACAGGTATTTCTGTCATTGTGTGTTATGGGAAACAGAGTCTAATGTGTTTATAATTGACTCCAGCTCCAGCAGACTGGCTCTGTGGGCAACAGATGCCACAGTTGCTGCTGCCACAGGCTATGTGTTATGTGAGTGTGTGTGTGTGTGTGTGTGTTATTGCCTTAGAATATATACAGTATATGTCTGTCTGAGCGTGTCTGTGTGTCTGATTTACTTCATAACTATATTTGCACGTGTGTGTGCGTGGTTCTCACCTGCATGTACAGTGTGGTTTTCTGTGCCAACTTCCTCCTTTTGTTTTCATTAATCTAATGTGTTTCCTCAGAGCAGATTGCTCACCTGAATGTCTGCACTGTAAAACCCAATGAGTTAGT